CATGCGGACCCGCAGCGCCCCGTGCGGTCAGAGCGGAGCTGTGCTGCGTAGACATTTTAGTGTCTCAGGAGCTTTGGCGGCCTGAGGAGCCCTGGTGGTGCACTGCTTAAGGCACTCGGCTGCTAACCCAGAGGCCAGTGATTCGAACCCACCAGCTGCTCGCGGAAGAAAGATGAGACAGTCTGCTTCCGTCAAGACTGATAGCCAAGGAAACGCCATCAGAGTGGCTGCGAGGCCGAATGGACTCAGTGGCAGTTTGGTTTTGGATCTTGCAGGAGTCGACTGGCAGGCCCCTCTGCCGAGGCACCCCTGGTGGACCGTAACCTCCCACCTGTCCATCACGGAGCGTGTGGACTGCACCACCCGGGAGCCTTAGCCTGGCACAGTGACAATCACGAGTCCTGCGGGAAGCATCCCCTCAGGGCACAGGAAATCCGGGCGCAGGCTGGTCACGGTCATCTTGATGAACGAAGTGCGGGTCTGGCTGTTGTCAGAAGGCCCGTGACGCCGCCTCACTGTTTGTCGTTTGTGCTGGTGCCCTGTGCCGTCCAGTCAAGGCCAACTCATTGCAGCCCCGGGGGAGGCAGTAGCGCGCCCCATGGATGTCCTAGGCTGTCACCTTTGCGGGAACAGATTATCAGGCATGGCCGCCGCCTGGGGCCAAACCGCCAACCTGTTAGCAGCCGAGCGCTTCACCACTGTGCCACCAGGGCGCCTTCCCGTCTCTGCAGCTTATTTAATATTCACGCATGCTCACATCTCACGATTCCTCCCGGGGTGGGGGGGTGCCAGATAAAACACAGAACCCTCGTGAAATGTGAATTTCCAACGACGAAGCCGCTAGCCCTGAGTGCAGCCCACACGTGGCACTCACTATGTTGTTGTTGTTCTGTGCAGTGGAGTCGGACCCGACTCATAGCGACCCCTCCTTGGGTTTCTGAGGCCGTATCACTACGGAAGTAGATTGACCAGCCTTCCTTCCGAGGAGTGGCTGGTGGGTTTGAACCGCCAGCCTTCAGGTTAGCAGTCAAGTGCCTTAGGCACTATGCGCACTATACTTACACAGAAAACGCATTCCCTCCTTCACAGAACGTTACATTAGCCGGGCGTCCTGTATTTTAGGCCCTGTGTCTGGCAGCCGTAGGCTCAACTATCTCAAAAGGAATGTGGGGTGCTGTGGTGCATCCCCCCATCTGGGCGTCACTCCCCAGCACCCCACTGCCCCTCCAGGCCGGCAGTACCTGTCCTGTGCGCCCCCCTCCCCGGTCCAGCATGGGTGGCAGAGCTGGGGGTCTCAGGGACGAGTGTGGAGCCCCATTCCTCCCGCACAGGCAGAGGGCCCCCCGGCCAGACAGCCCCTGCTCTGCTGTTCTCGGACGGGCACCTTGTCCCAGGGCGGGGTGGCTCCCCCAAAACCAGGTGCCCGATTCCGGCCCTCCCAGGGCCTTGAGGTGCAGTCACGGCCCCCTTACTTGGATCTGTGAAGGTCGGGTGAGACGGGGAGAGTCCTGTCTTGAGACTACAACCAGCACCCCCTTAGCCCCTCAGGGACCCCGGGGATAGCAGTGGTGCCAATGAGCCGGGGAGACGGGTGAATGGGCAGGAAGCCCCTGGAGAGGTGTGCTCAAGGATCCTTGAGAACAGCAGGTGCAGGTGTGGGGGTTCAGAGGAGGCCCCAAGCTTGCTGCTCCAGATAGGGGTCAGAGTGGGGAGCTGTTCCTTCAGTGTGTGGGACCCAGGCCAGCCTCCGAGGACCAGCATGGCCCTCTCGAAAGGAGGGAGCAGAGGGCAGCGTGGCTGAGGGTGGGGCGGGCTTGGCCTGCGCCCCAGCCCTCTCCCTGCTGCGCAATGGGCCACTGGTCCAGGCCCCGAGGTCTTTGGAAAGCGGAGGTACCAAGACCTTCGTCCTTGGGCTGGATCGGGCCAGGCCGAGGCCATGGACACTGATCCTGTTTACTGGGGGCTGACCCCCTCAGGGGCACGCGCCAGGTGCTGGGGAGTAGGTAGGACGGCAGGTGCTGTGGGCACCGCTGCAGTGTGGGCGCGGCCATGCCTGCATCCCTGCCCAGCTCCACGCTTCCGCTGTGCGGCCCTGGGGCAGCCCTTCAGCTCTCGGGCCTCAGTCCTCGCTTCCACAGAGCAGGGATGGTAGTAAGGCCGCCCACCCCCTGGGGTGGCTGGGGCCCGCAGCCAGTGTGAGGCACTGAGCGCCCCGACCCCTGCAGGCATGTCCGACTTTAACTACCTGCACGCCAGCTGCTTCGAGATCACCGTGGAGCTGGGCTGCGTGAAGTTCCCGCCCCAGGAGGCGCTGTACACCATCTGGCAACACAACAAGGAGTCGCTCCTGAGCTTCCTGGAGATGGTGAGCCGGGCTTCCTGGAGGCGTGGGCCGGGCGGTCCGGGGGTGTGGGGGCCCTCGTACCGTGCGGGCTTCCTGGAGGCGTGGGCCGGGCGGTCCGGGGGTGTGGGGGCCCTCGTACCGTGCGGGCTTCCTGGAGGCGTGGGCCGGGCGGTCCGGGGGTGTGGGGGCCCTCGTGCCGTGCGGGCTTCCTGGAGGCGGTGGGCCGGGCGGTCCGGGGGTGTGGGGGCCCTCCTACCGTGTGGGCTTCCTGGAGGCGGTGGAGGGTGTGGAGAAGTGGGAAGGGAGTGGGGAGAAAAGGGGGGGGAGGAGGAGGGAGAGTGGGGGAGGGGTGCGGTGGGAGAGGGGGCAGCCCAACGGCCCCCCGCCCCCCAGAGATGCAGGCGGAGGCTGCCCCCCACCTCTCCTGGTCACGCTCCGGGTGCCCCCCGCTGCCCCCCGCTCCTGGTCTTGTTAGTTGCCGCCCTGGCCCCTGAGGACGCCGTGTGTGCAGGGCACCCACACTCCATGGGGCTTTCAGGGCTGTTTCTCAAGTGGGATAGCCAGGCCTTTCTTCCAAGGGGCCTATGGGGCATTCGAACCACCAGCCTTTCAGCTAGTGATCGAGTGCTTACCCGCCTACGCCACCCAGGGGCGTCCTCCTCGCTCTTTGCCAGTGGACTGTTGGTCCGTCCAGGACCCGTGCCCTCTGACTGGCACCGGTCTGCCCACATGCTGGCTCTGGGGACACAGGCCATCAGAGTCCCCGGTGCCCGGGTGAGAACCCTGTGCTGAGTGTCGTCACCTGGCCCTTGAGAGCAACCCCCGCCCCGACCTGCCTCTGAAGCTGAGGACCAGAGCCGATGCCCTTGAAGGACCTGGTGCCGGTTGTGTTGTTGGTTGTTGGCTCTGACTCGCAGTGGCCCGTGCGCATCGGACAGAACGCTGCCTGGTCCCGCGCCGTCCTCACGGTCCTCGGCTGAGCCCGGGCTGGCAGCCTGTGCGTGGCCTTCCCGCCCCAGGGCTCAGCCCCAGTGCTGTCCCGGGCACTAGTCTGTTGTGGTCTGTGGCGCTCCTGCTGCCTGGTCTTCAGGAGTTAGATTGCCAGGCCTCCTTCCTAGTCTCTGAGTCTGGAAGCCCCGCTGAGTCCTGTGCACACAGGTGACCCTACTGGGATTTGAACTAGCGGTGGCATGGCTACCAGCATCACAGCGACGACTCAGACTCAGATGGGCGTAGGGCACAGTGGGGGATCCTCCCTGTGTCTGTGTGAGGCCCGGGGGCAGGCTGTCCCATGTTCTCCGGAGCCATGTGTCGGACTTAGGTGGGCAGTCGCTCCCTCTGGGACATCGTGGGTGCACGATGTCTTGCGTCCGTTTCCTCCCTGGGGGGATCTACAGGGAGCACACAGGCTGAGAGAGGACCCTGCCCAGTTCGGAGGCCCTGGGGGCTTCCTGGAGGAGGTGGCATCAGCTGAGTCCTGAAGAATGATAGGAGAAACCTAGTGTAGGGAGCCCGCCGGGCAGGGGGTGGCGTGTGCTGGAGTTGGGGCCTCTGGGAGGTGGAGGGCTGGTTCAGACCTTCCAGGGCCTCAGGGCTGGAGTGAGGTGTGTGGCTGTGGGAGTGGGACATGGTGGGCACCCCTGGGGAAGGGGCCAAGGCTCTGAGATGCTGGCTCTTGGCACAGGGTGTCGGTGCGGTCTGGGCAGGTCCCTCGGGGGTAAGATGACATGGTTTCGTACAAGCCTCTGCTCCTTGATGCAGTATTTTCAAGAGTCATACAGACTGTGTGTTGGCTGTGGGCCTCACTTTATAGTTGGAGGGACAGGCTGTGCTGGAGGAGGA